AAAGATGGCAATGGCGACATCACCAAGCGAGAAATGCGAGAAGCTGTACAGAGGATTTATCGAGAGCGTAAGGCCCTAACTGCCAGTCTGAAAGTGAATCTATGACTTCATTCGAGAATTACCGCTCACGACTTCGTAGGACGTTGGCTCAGCCGTGGCGAAGCTGGATGCTGTCCTCGTCTGCATTGCATTGCTCGGTATTCTCTTCGCATGCCTCCTCATTTTCAACAGGAGCAACACGCTAGCCTCGCTTGTTCCTCTTGCGACAATCATTCTCGGATTCTCGTTCATCTTCGGACATTCTGCACAGACGCTGTTTGAGTCGGTAAGTCAAAACCATTCGCTCGTTTATCATCCACGTTAAACTCATTTCTTCTTGAACAGATGATCTTCATATTTTCTACTCATGTCTTTGATGTCGGCGATTTGGTCATGATTGACGACCAGGTGTGTTCTTTCCGCGAACAGCTTGCATCAATATAACAAACTATTCCGTCAGTACCTAATTGTCAAAGAATTTGGTCTATTTTCTACCACTTTCCGTCGTGTTGACGGCCAAGAAATCATTGCACCGAACTCACTACTATCTAGCACAAAGCTCGTCCATAATTTACGCCGGTCAAGCAGCATGTGGGAGAGCACGACGCTAATGATAGGGTACAACACATCCCTCGAGCTCGTTGAGCAACTCAAGGCGCGCATCCAAGCCTACATTACAGCAAACAACAGAGAATGGAGTGGATCTTCAGTGAATATCGACAAAATGGAGTTTCAGAACGCGATCCATCTGACTGTGGCTGTTGAACGTAAGTCTTTCTGTACGTAGCCCGGCTGTAAGGTCTGATGTCTGCTTCAGATCGCCCGAACTGGCAGGACTGGGGAGGACGCTGGACGCGGAGAACTGCGTTCATGAAACATCTCAAGAGCATTCTAGAGGATTTGGATGTCAAGTATACCATGCCCGTGCAGCCGGTGCTGCTGCCCAATTCCCCACGCCCGACGAGCAGGTTCCGCAATGTGGGCGTGGAGGTGAACACTCGTGGGGGTGAAGAGAATCTTACTGCTTGGAAGTAAGAAGGACTTGTGAAGTTGTATTGCGGTGTGGTAAGCCCTTGCTGTGTCCATCACACGGATCTTTTGTAGCATATCGGACTGGAATAGATTTTACAGATCTAGGTAGGATCCTGTTGAAGGGCGGCGATATAGCTACACGGTGTTGGTTTTAGACGTAAAAAAGCCTGCACTTCTATAAGATGTACCAATAAACCCAAAGGCCGGCGCGTTGAAAGCCGGGAATCGACAGATTCGATTTCGCAAACTCGAGATGAATCCATGCTAAGTTGGATAGCTATAGGAGTGCCAGTGCAAATGATGATGAAATCACAAATACCATCATGCTTTCGGGCTCAAGGCTCTGTCTGCCAAGCCTGCAACCTCGATGACGCCACCCACAAGGTGTAAACTGCCCGTGACGAGCACGCTAACGTTTAGCGTTTTACGTGCTTCTTCCACGGCGTCCTCAATGGACGGCAGAACGTGCACTGTACCAGAGTAAGTTGGGACAAGGTTGTTCCAGGCTGCTTCGATCTCTCTCTGAGTCTTGAGATTGGCGTTATCAGTTGTAGACATTGCCATAGAGGTGAGGTCTGCCAGATGCGCATATGAGCTTGCATTTGAGAATCGGACGACAAGGCTTACCGCCTTTGAAGTTGCCGCTGGTATAGGTCACATTACTACAGAAAATGACCTTGGCGAAAAATTCTTCTTTCTTCTCCGGACTGCCATGATTTATCAGTTGCTCCTCTGTCTTTTGCAAGATGGTGTTCAAAAAATCATCTCCTGAACGCCCGCTAGTGCAATTGAAGATAAGCACTCGGGCTGGGTGCCCGTCAGAAATGGAAGAACTAGAATCCAGTATCAACGTTTATGATCCTGAAACCATGCAGATAACAAACGCACCCAGGAAGCCCGACTGATGGGCTTACAAACCATTCCAGACAGCACGCAAGGCTCTCTTTTGTGTGTGCCCCATCGAGGAACCACTTCGTACCCTCATGCTTTGGATCAAGTACTGTCTGACAACGGCCAGGCCAGTGGGCATTTCTGAGGCCGTCCAGAAAAGACGTAGGAAGGGACCGCAATGGCTCTATCACAGATCCGATCTGTGTTGTGCTAGCAGCACCACTGGTGTTGGAGTCCGACGCGGGAGAGTATGACTGATCTGTGATGCTGAGGAACGTGTGTGCCAATTGTACCGCGAGTGCAGCGTTCGATCTCTGGTGAGCACCTGCAAGACCTGAGATAACGAATTAATTTCGCGGTCAGGAGAACGGCCAGACAAAAAAAAAACATGCCTAATTGGATGGTGGAAGGGAGGGTCTCGACAACTGTGAACTGAGATGCCTGTGGTGCAAATATATATGAGTGGTGCGTTTGAGATTTAAGAGAGCGTTAATCACCCTCTGATCTACTGCACAATCACGAAGCTCAGACATGCCTTCCTCAGGCTGTTCAACAGTCAGGGCAGGAACCCCTTCCTGTAGTCTGTCTGTCAAAAAATTATAATGTAGATCTAAAAGAGAAATGTGCCTTATATATTCCACCCTTCTGATTTGCAATTTGACTGAGCTTTTCCCCAAGAAGCCTTGTGTGATCATACCCGAGGGCGGTAACACCTGTGACAATCGGCTTGGGGACCAAGTTCGTGCTGTCGGAGCGTCCACCAATACCTACCTCGAGAATTGTCGCATCGACCTGATGTATGAAGTTAGACACATAAATGGTCGGTATCGGTGGCATACCTTGAGTTGCTTGAAAGTGTAAAAGGCCATGAGCGTCATGAAGCGAAAGTAGTTTGGCATGAAGGGGGTGGTGGCGACTTCGCACTGAAGGAGATGTTTGTCTAGTACGGACGGCTATTGCCACGAGCCACGGACACCACATGCCTTGGTATTCTTCTGGAGTAAATCCCACACCTCGAAAAAGTAACGAGTAAAGTCCTCCTCTGAGAGCGGCTCTCCATTGATGCGAATACGCTCACGGACAGCGACCAGGTGAGGAGAAGTATATAAGCCTGTTTTACTTGTCAATGACGCTCTCGTAGAGCTGGGAAAGTAAGGCGTACCAGTTTTCCAGCCTGGCCTGGCTGCTCTCAATATTGAGTCCGTGAAGGCGCTCGTAGAGCCCTTCCCTTTGGTACCCGTGATATGTATGACATTCAAATCGTTTAGCTGGGATGGCTATAGCGGTACTTCGTCATAAACGAGACCGCGACGTTGACAGAAACTTTACCTCAAGCCCCACCCTGCGTAGATAATCGATCATTTCAAGGATAGCATTAGGATTGAGCATCACTCCCGCAGCACGCACGGCCTCCAGAACAGCAGCGTTAGTTTGAAGGGAATTCAGTGCGTCTATGGCATCCTTGTAAGTCGGGGTAGGTGCGGTGGACATCCTGCGTCCGTGAAGGTGAAAACGAGAACGTTTCTGGGTGTGTATAGCAATAGATCGGAAGGTGAACCGAAAAAGGATTGGCATCAGCAGACGACGGACATAAAGATTAAGAGATAACACGTCGTTGGCTGGCCGGGCCCGGGATAAGGTGGGTAACCACATTTTTGACGCGTTACGTTAAATTACTCAGAGATCACATGACTAGGCTATGAAGACGCGTGATAAAAATGGAACAAAACCTCCTGAAACACGAACCATACCCATGACTCTTGCAAGCGACCACGATGGATAGATTTGTAACTGTAATCAAGCCTGCACGCTCGTCCAAGGAAAAGGAAAAATGTACAAACTCAGCACGATTCACTCCATACCCTACTTCCAAACCGAAAACCCACAAGAATTCCCCAGATGCAGTGAGGTCAAACTACCCAGAAGCTGTGGCACAGGATAAGGCACGCTTGCGCCAGTGCGTATTTAAATTGCCTTCATCTACTAGGTTTTACTGATCGTGGCATTTGGCAGACTCCTAGCTCCTCTCAAAAAAGACGGTACCTCCAAGCCATCTGCCGGGAAAATTACGAAGCACTTGCTGAACACCCTTGCGGATGAATCAAACCCAATTACTCATTCAAATATATATGAACGTTCAGGTGCGTCTATATTTTCCCCTCTTTGTTGTATCGCATTTTCGTGTTTTCAATATTTAAAATCATCTCAACGCAAGTTGCACAGACCATATTACTTCGGTCGCAACGGGCCACCAGCGCTCCGAAATGCGTGGTGGGGGGCATCGCCGAGGATACCTTGACGAACGATCTGAGAAACTAAAGGTCCAGAAGCATGAGAATGCACGCGACTTGTGTCTAGTGGAAAGGGACGAAGGGAAATGCGGTGTGCTAAGTGGTGTACGCGTCTATATCAATGGCTACCTTGCGGGAACAACCGACATAGAGATGAAGCGGATAGTTGCGGGCGCTGGTGGGGTCACCTTGTAAGCCCAGTCTCTCTTGCAATCTCTGAAGTCTAATCTTGCATGACTTGTCACAGGCATTCCCCTAGTGGCGCTACGCATATTCTCACGTCGCAACAACTCTCGGGTTCGAAGACTCACAAACACCTCACATCAAAGCGCAATCCCGCACATGTGGTGCGGCCCGAGTGGGTGTTCGAGAGTGTGAGGGCGGGCCGGAGATTGCGAGAGTGGGAGTTCGCGGCCATTAGGCCCGAGAGCACTATGGATTTGGCAAAGATGTTCGAGAACAAGAAGGAGCTGTAGCTGGTAATATTTCGGGGGCTGGTCCTCGCTGTGAGACATCTACTGGTGATCTATTGTATCGATGCCAATTATTTATCGATATTTTATTTCAATTGCTTGAAATCCAAGACTAAGAAATATATGATCAAGCTCAGCACTTTCCAGCCACATTAATGAACAAAGATCTGGCTGAAGACGGCATGAAAAAAAGAACGACCGCCTACTTGCAATAGAAAGTGCAACATAGACCCAAGAATCAGGTCATGTATCAAATTAGGCTCCTTCAACTTCGGTCCTTGTCGATTAGTGGTTAAATCATCGCATTGTGGAAACATAATCTGCGAAGCCGGAAGTTCGAATCCTCCCTGGGACATATGGACCACACAATTTTTTTGTCTTCCCATTTTTACCCTTTGTGTATTATATTTTGCAAAACCAAACGGTGTTTTGATGCTTTGCACTACATGTAGTAAGATGAGCACAATTGTATATGTAGTACCGCATCAGACCTCGCTCCCTGTAAAAGTGTAGCTCCCCAAGCTCCCTGTCCCGCTCCCGAACTCGCTGCTAAACTCGAATTCACTCTCATCACCCTGACTACTTCCTGCATCACTCCTCTCTCTATCGCCCTCACCCACGCTCTCATTTTCAATCCCACCCAACATGGAACTTCGCCTAAGGTTTCCGCTTTCACTCTCCAACCTATATCGGTCCGCACTCCGCACTTCTTCCGCGCATCGCAGACACGTCCAACCGCGCGAGCCATCATCGGCAGCGCGGAGCATGCGCTCAGCAAGGCAAGCATAGCAATAAACATGCCCACAGGAAGCGAGATATGGTGTTGTTATCGGGTATGGCGGTTCTCCGTCTCCCTCGATATTATTTTCACCACCATCATTATTTGGTGATGTAGGGAACGCCGGAGTGTACGATGCCAGCGCGCCAGCAGCATCACTAAGATTCACGTTCAGGGCAGCGTTCTCAGCACAGATTGCGCACTGGTCTGGCGGGAGGGCATAATACTTTCCGCGTTTCGGTGCACGTATCTTTTGCGTAGGGGAGGGAGCAGGGAGAATGGACGAAAGGGTTGATGTGAGCTTTCGTGTCACGGAGCGAGGATTGATGAGTGGGAGGAGGAAGAGGAGGAATTCCTGGTCGTAGCGGAGTGAGTCTGCAATGAAGGCAGATGGTTTTAATGAATGAATGACGTACTGTAAATGCGTGCCAGACCATCTGGCGATTCATAAACTCATAACTAACCTCGCGTTTGAGGATAGCTTGTGAAGGCTCAAGCCTCATCGCCAGGAATCTATCAACAATTGTCCTATATCTGCAATACATCCGTGTTACCGCTTCGTCAATAATGGCACAACTGCAGAACGGACCTCCCATTCCATAAAAATGCGACGAAGTTGACCAGACTGAATGCACCGTGTGCAGTCTCGAGGTTCGCCAAGGCAGCCCAAGCGCGGCGACGGATATCAGAGGCAGGTGCATCTGGCCATGCATGCGAAAGTGCATATGCATGAATTCGATTGCGGAAGTAGGGAACAAGGATGGTGAGTGCACCATGGATAATTAGTAGTCGTCGTGGGGGTTTGGCTGCGACACATCATGGAGACGTCAGATATTTGCAAGAGATGTGTTCACTCACAGGTTGAACCCGAGCCGGAACTTGGAACGGAATACCGCAGGCCCTGCAGCATTGCGCCATAACTTGCACCAGAGGTCCACACCGAGAAGCGGTAAAGTACGAGCTGGACGAGCAGAGCTAGCTCAGGCTCAAGCCGGGCTTTCATGGATGCCTGTTCCTGCATCAGCAGATAACATACCGACATGTAGAACACGTACATTGACGGTCGCAAGGGCCTTCGACACCGGCTCTATAAGTATGTGCACAAGTTCAGCATCGAGAAGCTCAGCATCTAACTGGCCGACGCGAATAATGCGAGGGTTCGGTATAGGAAATGCTGGAGACGTAAGGGCATCTTGTATGGAGTGAAGGCGAGGTTGGGCAGCATCCCATGCTTGCTGCCATACGCCGCTCATCGAAGCGGGGATAAGAGTTGGTACGGCGTAGGCACGTGATTACACATCTAATTGACTCGATAGATTTGATCTAATAGCTAACGCGAACGTCGACGATGGCAGAACTACTACAGCAGCTAATCCTGGACACTCTTGATGCCCAGTCTACTTTACCAGATACCCGTACACTAACAATCCCTGGTCAATCTAGCTCAGCGAACAGCCATGATGCACAGATCACCATCCTTGGTGCGCTGAACTCGCTACTCAGCCGGGAGGCTAGTCTACTTTCATTTTCTCATGATCTCGTATTAAATAAACATGCAGATGATAACATACGAAACGCATGAAGTTTCGTCGCATGTGCTTACGCCCGAGGGCGTTCAGATCGTGCGCGAGGGCTCGCATGAGGCTCGCGTGTGGGCTGCCCTCCCCGAACGTGGTGCTGGTGCCCCTCTCAGCGCACAGGATCTCAAGAAAGCAGTGGGAGACGAGGCTGCAAAAGTCGGACAGGGACGCGCCTTCAAGAGTGGGTGGATCGCGAAAGAGGGGAATGGCTTCGTCAAGGCGGTGCGTGTTTTCTGCTGACGTTTTCCATGACTGCGCGATTAATAGGCTGACAGGTATCTACAATTAAAGATACGACCCAGATCGAGTTGCACGAGGTAGAGTCATTGGGCACGCTCGCGGCTGGTGAAAAGGCACTCGCCGAACTGCGAAAACGCAAGCTTATCATACAAAGGTTCCTCATATTCCTCCAACGTAGGTTATTGAGCCTGACGATGTGCAAAGGAAGGGTCAATGGTTCACCGTGCATAAGGGCACCAACTTCAGTACTTCAATTGCCAAACCGGAGACTGATTTGACCGTTGATATGCTTACTTCGTGGGTTTAGTGTTCTAATGTGGTGATGTTAAAGCTTATGGCACTTTAACCCATAGTGGCTCTTGGAAAAATTCCACCTTCAAAAAATATAACTTTGAAGCAGACGGGATACCCACGTCCGGGGGCGCTCTCCACCCTATCCTTAAAGTCCGCGAGGAGATCCGTGGCATTTTCTTGGAAATGGGGTACGTGCTTCAGTTCCTAGTGCAATGTCGCTGTGTTATCATATTTACTCAATTCACCTGGCATCTCATCTGATACACTTGATGATACTGATTACGGATGTCGCAGTTTTGAAGAAATGCCCACAGGGACTTTCGTCGAGTCTGGATTCTGGTGCTTCGATGCACTCTTTGTTCCCCAGCTACATCCCGCCCGCGAACTCCAGGATACCTTCTACCTCTCTGGTATGTCCCTACCGCTCTAACCTTCATCAACTTCTTGAAAATCTTACCAATGTCTTATAGATCCCTCGACGTCCCTCCCTCCACCATCCGCTTACTATGATCGCGTCGCACGCGTGCATGAGCACGGCGGGTACGGCAGCATCGGTTACCGTACGCCCTGGTCACATGAGGAGTCGCATAAGCTCCTCTTGCGCACGCACACGACTGCCTCGTCCGCTGCAATGCTGTACAAGCTTGCAGCCAAATGTCGAGGCGAAGATATCGACGGCGACCTTTCCGCAAACCCACAATCTGGTGCTGCACAGCTGAGTGATGACGGGTTCAGACCAGCGAAACTGTTCAGCATTGACCGCGTATTCCGTAACGAGACGATGGATGCTACACATCTTGCGGAATTCCACCAAGTCGAGGGCGTTGTAGCAGATCGGAACTTGACACTTGCAGATTTGATTAGTGGGTTGCAATCTTCTTTTCTGATCTGATCTTGCCTATCACGCCTATCGTGGTTCCTTCAACCTCACTTGCCGATAGAGACTATTGCTAATAACTGACCACGGGCACAGGTTTCATGCGGACGTTCTTTAGGAAGATGGGAATGACGGGTCTGAGGTTTAAACCTGCGTACAACCCGTACACAGAGGTGTGTTTTACTCTCATCTTCATTTTAACTTTCCCAAAGTTACTTCCGGTAATGATAATAATCCTGGTACTGACACAAACTTGCGGCTTCTAGCCTTCTCTCGAAATCTTCGCCTGGCACCCCCTCCTTGAAAAATGGGTTGAAATCGGGAACAGTGGCATGTTCCGCCCTGAAATGCTTGCACCCATGGGCTTCCCACCTGACGTGCGTGTGCACGGCTGGGGAATTGGACTCGAACGACCTACTATGATTCGGTGAGTAGTTTTTCCCTTCCCCCCTTCGTTGTATTATTCCACACCCACCCTTTCGCTTTCACTTATCTTGGACGTGAAACTGAAGCTCTTGACGTAGGTATGGTGTTAACAACATCAGGACGCTTGTCGGGCACAAGACGTCCATCGAGAATGTGGAGAACTCGCCAGCTGTCATGTTCTAGATGCGAAGGGGGGTGTATGTTGATTTAGAAGGATACCGAAGATGTATCACCATAATTATAAGTGCACACCGGCCGAGTGTCACGCAAAACAAAATGACCGAGGCTAATATCAGTCTATGTACAAGTTTCTACAATCGTCCTATAGCAATGAACGACATCGCAAGCAGCTCAGAACGAGAATACAGCAGCATTCTTCCTCGACCCGAACATGTACACGAGCGCTTGGGACATGAACAGCCCGACCGTGATACCGATCGTGACGGCGATCATCGCACTTCCAATGTCGACACCACTTCCATCTGCCGTGACGCCTCCTGCCTGCGACAGACCCGACTACGAGATCGACCATCATCAGCAAGCTTGTATAAACCCAGAAAGAAATGAGCACTCACTGGCACAAGGAACAACACACCCGTAACCATACTCGTAAACGCCGTCCCGCCCATCTTCCTTGAATAGGCATTCCCCAGCAAGCCCACAGTGAAAGCCCCGATTGCGCTCACGATATCGCTCCGATTGAAGATATAGTGGTTGGCGAATTTATTGCTCGCATAACTCGCGCACGAAATAACCACCATCACTGGAAGTTGCCGGCTACGCCATGGTTGCAGATTTGCGAGGGACGATAGAATACTGAACAACGGCACGATGACGAACTCAGTCCAGAAGGGAAACGGTTGAAGGTACCAGGCGAAGTGTTTAGGGCGATAGCATCCGTTGATGATGTCTGCCTGCATCACGTTCGTGTTGTTTGTGAAGGTAAAGGTGCCGTAGACAGGGCCTAGCCCTGAGGAGAGCGATGAGTTGCCACTCGTGGAGTTGTCCGCCGCGAATGTGCCAATGATAGTAGCACTTGTAGAGATGTCGGCGGCAAGCGTGGTGAGGTGGTGCCGTGCGGTTGGATCAAAGAGGAGGTATAAGTCAGACCCGATCTGCAGACCGAAACCCAGGAAGAGGGTATAGATGAGGGCGTATAC